AGAAGGAGAGCCACACCCGGTCCCTTGGGGAGTTCTGAGCCCAGCGCAGCATGGGGTTGGCCTGGACGAGCCGGGGGCTCCAAGGCAGCTCGGGAGCAGCTTGGCGGGCAGACTTTGGGGCCGGGCAAACAGCTCTGGCCGGAAGGCGGTGACTTATTCCTTCCACCACCCCCCTTTTTTTTTGCCTGGCGGCGTAATTACTGATTTGATTCCAATCCATTATTTAGACAATTGAACCTACGATCTCGTCTTTAGTAAAATGAGGCGAAGTCAGATTTGATTACAGGTTCAGTCCCCGCGACAAGAGCTGGAAACCCGATGGGTTAATAACAGATCACGAGTAAATTATTCATGATTTTACGAGCTCTTTAGCTCTATTGAATTGACCTAATTGAGAGGGAAAAAGAAAGCCAAAGCCCTCCCCACCCTTCTCCCATTTACCCACGCTTCCCCCACCCCATCTCCCCCTTCCCCGACCTCTCTCTCCGGCCCAATCTCCCCTTTCCTGAACTAATCCCTCAACTCCCCCTTCCCTTCCTCATTCCATCCCTTCCCCCATCCCCCAGCTTCTCTCCCTGCCCCATTCTCTCTTTACACTGACCTCCTCTCATTCTACTTCCCTTTAACCCCCACTCTCCCTCATACTCTCTTTCCTGGGACTTCAGTCTCGTCTTCCAACTTCAGCATCTATCTGATCTCACGGTTTCCCCACCACCTGCCTGCTTCTTTTCACTCTCTGGATCCCTGACTCACTCCCTCTTAACTACAATCTCCCGATTTTCCTACCTCCCTTCATCCTCTCCTGTACAGTTTTCCCCTGGCTTTTCCCCCAGCCTAGGCCAGGCCTCAGCCAGGCTATCCAGAGCAGCTTCTCTTGCGCCCAAAAAATTATTAATTCTGTTCCACTTTAAAGGTTAGGTAGGTAGTGTCAATAGTATTATGCCCATTTTGCAGATAAGAAAGCTAAGTCTCAAAGAGGATAAATGAATTTGCCAAAAGGTCACATATCAGAGCCAGATCCCTTCTGTTAAACTACACTGCCTCCTTCCCTTTTTCTGAACATCTTGTGTGTAGCAACCAACTGGCAGTTTATCCCTTGTTCACTTTCTTATACCTCCTTAGTATCTTGCCCCTATTCCTATTTCATTCTTGTTCTGTCCATTTCCCCAGTTCCAACTTTTGAGGGGGCCTTGCTCTTCAGGCCCCTCCTACCTCCCTCCTATTCCACTCTGCCCTTCCCTTCCTCAAAGGAGTTTCTTTCCCTTTAGACTACCCAACCCTCCCCCCCACCCCTTCTCCAGGCCTGTCTCAGGAAGGCTCCCAAGGGCACAACGGGCCAGCAAAGGCCCCCAGCAGAGCTCATTAACAGAAGTCCAGGAGGGAGGGAAGGAGAGAAGGAGGGAAAGAGGGGGCACTGTCCTGGGAAGGACTGAGAGAAACCCCTTGAGAACAGGCCTGAGGGAGCAGCTGTGGATGGTTCACTGTTTTCCCTCCTCCCCATTCCCTCCCTTAAAGTCAACCTGGGACTAAGGATAGGCAAAGAGACATATGAAGAGACTCTTTAGACATGAATTTTCAAAATGTGTGTCCTTTTTATGCCAGAAAATTCTGCCCTCTATGGCCCTTGCATACTTATTTGGTGACAAATAAAATAGCATATATTATGAGAGACAGAGCCATATATTGGGAAGCACACTACTGTGCTTTGGACCTGGGTTCAAATCCTGTCTCTTGCTTAGTGACCTAAGGTTATTTATTTCATATCTCTGGGCTTCAGTTTCTTCATCTATGGAATGGGACAATCAGTTGGACTGGATGATTTCTAAGGTTCCTTTGAGCTCAAGATCAAGGTCCAAGGGAATGAGATCTGGCTTAGAGTATCATATATGATATATTAGTTTGTGGCCATGAGCAAGTCCTTTCAGCTCCCTAAACTTCAAATTCCTCATTTGCAAAATGAGGATAACAAATTCTATACTATCCCCATAACAGAAGAATGGAGAAATGGTGAATAGAGGGCTGGACTTGTAGTAAAAAAAAAAAAAGATCCTAGTTCAAATCTCACCTCTGACACTCACTAGTAGAGGGACCTAAGGTGCATCCCTTAACCTATCTGGACCTCAGAACCACACTCTAAGGTTCTAAGTTGTAGATTGGTTGGAATCTGAATTGATAGAGGGAATTCCCACACCAACAAAATCCAGGGTCCCTTTTTGATCAATATGGCCTACCTACCTGCCTCACAGGAGAGAAGCATTTTGTAAATCTTGGAGTGCTATAGAAATGGCAATGATTGTAGAGAAGGCTCCTGGTCAGAAACACACGTGAGCACAATTTTCAAACATCAGGTTGGTAGAGTTTTCAACTTTTTGTCTGAGGTCCACAAAGGCTATGCCCTAGTTCTGCTCCCAAGAGACAGCCTTCACCTCTGACCCCAGCCCACGCCTTCTCTGAGACTTGTTTACTTGTGAGTAAGACTTTAACTCAAACTGCAAAACATATTTCCTGGCATTGTAATTCTGGACAAGTTATTTAACCACTTTGAGCCTCAATGTCATCATCTGTAAAAACAGGAGCACCTCACAAGGCTGTTGTGAGGATCAGATGAGATAATGCATATGAAAGCACTTGGCAAACTTGAAAGTCCTATGTACATATAAACCATTATTCTTAACATTATGAGCTGCTTCCCTTTCTCCCTGTCCTGCCTCTCTTTCATATCACCTGAGATGGGGTACTGAGATCAGTGAGAATAAAAGGAATTATATGTTCCTGAGCTTACCCCTTTTCTCAGGCACCTTGGAGGTAACTGGCAGATTTGGGGTCGAACTTAGGGTTAGGGGAGCTGGGCCAGAGTCCCAGTTCTGACACTTACTAGCTAAGCAATTCACTTTCTGTTCAGAGCTTCAGTTTCCTCATCAGTAAGATGGGAATAATAATGCTTGTACTCTCTACCTCATAAGACCATTGTGAAGAAACGGCTCCAGCTTTGTGAGCCTTAAAACACTATAGGAATGGGAGCTATTATTTCTCTGAAACCACATTTAAGGACTATCCTTTGACTCCTTGTTAAATGGCAGGAACTTGTTTTAAAGGACTAAGCTCCTCCTCCCCTTCCATCCCCCAAATTGCACCCTTGTGTTCTCCCCCTTTCTTTGGCTCTAGTCCCAGGCCTGATCCTAAGGGTTCTCCCAGGTGGCCTATACCCTGAGGAATCTTGGAAGAGGGAGACCCTGCTCAGTGGGTTATGGTGGGGGGAGCCTGTTCTGTAGGCTCTTGGTGGTGGAGCAGGGCTCTTCTCTGAGGATTATTGGCAAAGGGAAGGACTCTGTTCTGTGGGTCCTTGGGGTAGGGGGTACAGAGGACATCCTGCTTTGAGGGCCTATAGTGGGTGGCAGTTGTGACCTGAACCCCCTACCAAGCTATGACCTGGCCTTTTGTGGAAGGAGCTTCTCACTGACTGTGAAAGGATTACTACCTACCCCATTTGGGGTAATAGCTAAGCTTTGTGGAAACCACCGAATTCAGTCCCTAGCTGGAAAGTGTCTAGAGAGTAGGGCACCTCTCTGCTCCTGGCTGAGGAGTGTTTGTGAGCCCAGATCAGTTTCAGGACAGCATGGAAATAGTGAACGAGATGAGGTCTATTAGCTATAGAGAAGCTGGTTCACCCAAGGCTAGGGAAGTTTATCCTTTTCTATGGTAGCTGGTTCCTTTGAAAGGGCCTGAGGTCAGCTCATGACAGAGATGTGATAATAGGAAGGCATGGAAGATGTTCTATATCTGGAGACAGAATATTGGGGTTCAAATCTTGGCTCTGACAAGTCCTAGCTGAATGACTTTGGGCTAATCATTTCTTCTCATGGGACCTCAGTTTCTTCACTTATAAAATTAGAATATTGGATTCAGTAATTGACAAAGTCCCTTCCAGGTCCAAATTCTAAAAGGGAATATATTGCAGGCAGCTTTGTCTAGGTCCCACTCAGAACACAGAAGGAAACTTTATAATGTACATGATTTTAAAAAATAAATTCACTTATATATATATATATATATATATATATATAATTTATTCTGAACTTAGTCAACTAAACAAAACAAAATAAGATGCATGTAATAAGCTCATAAATTCCAAATTATTTGTTTTTTAAAATGTATATTAATCTTGACAAAAATAATTTAAATACCTTGTTTGCTTCCATATTCTTTTCCTGTTCCCTTTTTATTCTGTGTATTTTTGTTACTGCTATTATTATTTTATGTAATTGTTATATATGTATTTTATATTTATATATTTATATATGTATTTGTACATATATTTTAGATTCTCCATTCTTTACTATGAGGCATGTATTTTGAATTGCCAGAAGAATTCAATCTCTGACTCATAAGGATTTATTTTTATGATCAGTCAGGTCTCTTATATTATCCCAAAGCTTCAGATAGACCATAAACATAGGAACACACTATTGAAACTCCACCTGAAGTTCACAAATGCTGATGTAGTAGCAAGAGAACTTAATTTAGCATCCAAGGGCCTGTATTCAAATGCCTGTTCTGCTGCTTTCTAGAGCTGTGATTTGGGGCCAATAACTTCCCCTCTCCAGTCCTCTGTTTCCCCATCTATAAAAGGAAGGGGTTGGACTCTATGCCCTTTGAATCAGCTCTAAATCCTTTGATCTAAGAAGCGATGACCATGAGACCCAGAGGGGCTACTATAGTTTTCCTGTACATTTGTTTAAGGCCTGGAAGGAACAGTGTCAGATTGAAGCTGACTTACAATAGCCTGACATCTCAGGACCTGGATTCTACTCCATTTGGTTGGGGAGTCTAGTGGCTGGGCACTGTTGCAGACTTAGGCTTAGCCTGGGAGGAACCCCCTGGCTCCCTGGACCTTGAAGGACGCAGGCTTCCTCCAGGGAAATGTCTTCTGCCCTAATCTGAGGGCAACATAAGCCTCCTCCTCACTCCACCCTTCACCTCTGAACCTTTCTCCCCTCTAGCACTGAGCTGCAATGAAAATGACGGGGACCATCTGGACAGGGACCAGCAGTACCCCAGCAGCCAGAAGACTAAGAGAATGCGGACCTCCTTCAAACATCACCAGCTGAGGACGATGAAGTCCTATTTTGCTATTAACCATAATCCCGATGCCAAGGACTTGAAACAGCTCGCACAGAAGACCGGTCTTACCAAAAGAGTCCTCCAGGTAAGGGATGGGGGAAGTAATGGGAGGCAGGACCGTGGCTACCTCAGATTAAACAACTGTGCAATGTGATACACAAAACAGCAACCCACAGTAAGTAGTCCTCGGGATGTGTCACACCCGACACATACCAGTGCACACAGCACAGAACACACAATACACCCACAGTGCACGCGCACATATCCAAGCTCATGGGCCTCTGGAGTTTTCCCTGAGATCTCATACACAGGCTCAAGCTTTCCCCGATGTTAAAGGCCAGCTCTGAGGAAGCCCAGGAAGAAATCTTCCCAATAGGTGAAAAACCAGATAAACACAAAAGACAAAGAAGCTCCCGAGAAATCCTTGTCCTGCTCCCTTTGGATCACTTCCTCTAGCATCCTGTTCCTTCCCCCCCCTTTTTTTTTTTTGCTCCCACCTCCTTTCTGTTTTTCTCTGTCTCAGTTTCTCTTTCACCTTGGTCTCTCTGTCATTGGGGTTATTTTGTCCCTTTCTTTATCTATTTCCCACACTCCTCCTTAGGATCATAGGATTTTAGAATTGGAAGATCCTTGAAAGACAATCTAGTCTAATTCTGGAATTTTATAGAGAGGAGAAAGGAGGCCCGAAGAGTAATTCTTCCTGTTTCTCTTCCCTTATGCTATACTCTTCTGTTATCAATCAATTTCTCTTTCCCTGTGTCTTTTGGTCTGGGCTTCGAGGTCCCTCTGAACTCTGAAGAATATAAGATTCCTCCCTCCTCTTTGTTTCTCACTTTAATTCAATCCAAAAAGCATTTTATGTGCCTACAATGTGCAACACACACACACACTTTCTGCCTGTGGTTGCCCTCCTCCGCACGGGTTCTCTGCTCCCTCTCCTCTGTTTTTATCTTTTCAGTCCTTCTTTACTAGAGGCTCCACCCCCACCCCCCACAAGTCTCTGCACTCCGACCTTTTCTCTGTCTCTACTCCTCCCTTTCTCTCCGCGTCTGTCTGCGTCTGTATCTTTATCTCTGTGTTTTGTGTCTTGGGGTCTCTTTCTGTTTCTCAGTATCTCTCTTACTCTTTTGTCCCTGTAACTCTCAGGATTGAGTTTCCTCTAATGTTGATGATTGTAATTATTCATTTAATTTAGCCTTTCCCCTTTTCCCCTACCCTTTCAATCCTCCACCCTACCTTGGTGGTGGGTAGGCTCTCCAGAGAAAGGCAAAAGTGAGTTGAGTTGAGCCAAATGACTCCTTTGCTGAGTTAAGACACTAAGAAAGTTCAGAGACTTCTTTGAATATTTACCCGAAAAAACGAAATAGAAACTTGCATTTGTTTTGTCAATCAGGGGCAGACAGAACATATTTGCCTCCGTGGTGGAAATGAATAATAAATGAGTGTTTCAAAGATTAAAGTGCATTAATTTCTAATGCGCAGCTTTGTAATTTCCGACTGAGGACGAGAAGCGATCGCTGGGATACCTTCTTGGGGAGCGGGTTGGCTATGGGTGCCCCTAAAACAGCTTTCTGCTCAAAGGTTTCCTTCCAGCCAACACAGAGAGGCTCTCGGTCGGGCGCTGGACTTTTCTGCAATTCTTAGGGGAGCTGCGGTCCCGGGGGTAGAGGAGAAGGGTTGTAGAAAGAGACGAAAGCTCAGAGGTTTCAGAGCCCGGGAGAAGGGAGTTTGGGGTCACTAGAGTCTGGAGTTGGGAATAATGGGAGGGAATGACTTAGGAAAGTTTTCCAATTACTCTTTCACACGCTGCCGTAGTGGAAAGAGCGCTGGATCTGCAGTCTGAATGAAGTTCTAATCCGGCTCTCTCCTTAAAAATCTGGGAGACCTTGGGCAACCCAACAAACATTTATTAAATACGTACTAAGTGTAGGGTACTTCTCTTCTCTGGACCCCATTTCCCTCATTTTTAAAATGGAGGATTGTAGTAGGTGGTCTGGATTCTCTGAGTATTGGAGTGTTGGGGGAGATGGAGTCTGGTGACTGAAAGCGGAATCACAGTCAAAAAAGGTTTTTCAATTATTATATGATCGAAGAACTATTTTAAGGGGAGAAGAGAGATGTCACCTGCTTTTCTCCGACTCCCCAGAGATGACTTTGTGACGTCAGCTGAGTGAACTCCCCAAAAGCCAATCCCGAGCTGCTGGGCTTCTTTGCCCCTACAAGGACCTACTTCTATCTCCCTTTTCTGCCTTTGTCTGGGTTCGAGACCACTGACCCTTGACCCATTTCACAAAATCAGCTCTCTGCCTGAGCTCTTACCTCACCTCTTCCTCCGTTCCCTTATGTCCTCCGGGAACTAGGAGTGTTTCACAGAGAGAGAAGGGGGAGAGAAGGGCAAGCGGGAGAGAAAACAGAGACGGAAGCTCGCAGGAGTTGCCCAGGAGACTCGAACAACCGAGTTCAGCTCGGGACAGGATCGTTTAGGATTTTGTTCAAGTTTTCTTCTAGTTTTTTTTTTTTTATTACCCATGCTTAGGAGGGGGAAGGGAATTTGGGAGAGGTAGGGAGTATTTGCTTCACTGATGGAACAGCCCATGGGACACCCACCACCCCTACCACAAGCAGGTGCTCCCAACGTCTCCCAAGGAAGTGGGAAGGATCAATGAGGGGGATGCTAGAGCTTTCAGACTCATCGGGTATCTGTCATTTCCCATGAAGCCTGGGCTTTAAACTGAAGTCACTTCTCTCTGAGCCTTGCTTTCCTTCTTTGTAAAATGAAGAGAGATATATATCCAAGGTTTCTTTCAGCTCTGGCAGTTCTTATTCTATGCTCTAGCATTCTAAATTGTAGACCCATTCCAAACAGATCCTTTCCAGGTCTAACATTCTATGTTTCCACTTTTCTTCCAGCTTTAACAGCCTGCATTCCAAATTCTAATATTCCCTCAGCTAAAGTCCCTTCCTTCCACCTCTAACCATCTATGAGCCATGAACCTTCTGCCACTCAAAGCCCGATCAATGAGCTGCTGTACACAGTAGGTTCAAAATCTATGCCTGGTGTTGATCTGATGAGTTGGTGTCTCCCACTTTGGAGTCTTAAAAGAAAGACTAGGAAAGTTGGAGTCTGTTCATCTCTTCTCCCTCCTCACCTAATCTGGAGGACCAGAAAGGGCATTTGCCCTGTTGCCTGTTGGGAAATGGAGTGAACTTATTCTATTTGATGTCTGTGAGCAACAGTAGGACTAATAGATGGAAGTTTCAGGGAAGTGGATTTCAACCCAAAATAAGGAAGACTTTCTAAAAGTTAAATCTGGTCGCCTCATGAAACAGTGGATTTTCTGTCAGGTGTTCAAACAGATGTTAGATAACCGCTTGTCAAGAGATGTTCAAGGGGACTCATGCTTTAGTTAAGGGTCCCCTTCTGGCTCGAGATCTTGCGATTCTGTGAGTTGCTACTCAGAGCTCAGCTGAGCAGTTACCTTCAAGGATATTTGGCTATGAAGAAGTAGAATCAATGAAATCCCCAGATGTCCAAATTTTCTTTTGACTCATCCTCCTTCCTTAGCCAGCCCCTCTGAGGTGGGAGAAAAGTACAGATTTGAGCTCTTTTTCTCTGACCCTTCTTGACCAATGATGGAAGTAATATTGAGCAGGGAGGTAAAGGAAGAGATCCCAGAGCATCTGGCAATTAGATTCCAGTTGCTCCATTCAACCCTGAGTTATTAGAGCAGGTAATGGCAGAGGGGTGGTGAAATCCCCAAAGCTGAGCAAATGTATCACCAGAATTTTCAGGTGCTGTTCTCTCTTCCCTATAAAGGGCAAATAAGACAAACTCCTTCTTCATAGACTCTACTTTTCTCTGGAGCACTCAATCCAAATTCATTATGCCAATAATCTGGCTTGCCCCTTCTCATAGAATTCAAGGACTATAGAAGTTGTTAAAGATTCTTCCTTAAAATCCTAGAATATTAGAACAAGAAGGGCCTTACAGTATAGGATGTTAGAATACAGTGTTAGGACAGTAGGCCTGAAAGAGCTCTTAGGACATAGACTGTGAAGAGCTTGTAGGAATGTTACCTTAGGAAGGGACATTAGAACATGGAATACCTTAGAGATTAGTATAGACTGTTAGAACACTGACATATAGCATGGAATGTTAGGGTTAGGAGGGACCTAAAAGGTTATTTAATTCAGTTTACTCATTTTACAGTTGAGGAAACTGAAGCCAGGAATGAAGAGGTGACTTACTTGCTCAAGGTAAACCACAAGTTAGTGGCAGAGTCAGACCTTGATAGAATTCATGCCTCCTGACTGTGCACTCCAGTGTTCTTTCCATTATGACATTCCCTCTCCTTCTTGGGCAGACTGGGGCTGTGTCCACCAGCTGCATCCATGCTTAGTCTTGGGCATTTCTTTCAGGGTTGTCTGCTTCCCCTGCAAAAAGGATCTTTTGTTCTTCAGTTGTTTAGTCATGTCTGACTCTTTGTGACCCCATTTGGGCTTTTTTTTTTTTTTGGCTAGGCAGTGGGGTTAAGTGACTTTCCCAGAGTCACACAGCTAATAAGGGTTAAGTGTCTGAGGCTGGATTTGAACTCAGGTCCTCCTGACTCCAAGACCAGAGCTCTATTTACTGTGCCACCTAGCTTCCCCCATTTGGGCTTTTCTTGGCAAAGATACTGGAATGGTTTGCCATTTCCTTGTCCAGCTCATTTTACAGACAAGGAAACTGAGAACAGGCTTAAGTGACTTGCCCAAGGTCACAACAACTAGTAAGTTTCCGAAGCATGATTTGAACTCAGAAAGATGAGTCTTGCTGACTCCAGGTCTGACATGCTGTCCACTTCAACACCTACCTGCCCCAAAGAGATCTTTATTTCTCCCTTTTTAACCCTTCACAAGGCGGAGAAGAGATTTTAAGGAGTAGAGAGCAATGTCGATGTGGAGGTACGTAGATGGGTAATTGCACACTAGTTTATGGACAGAAGCTCAGATGTCAGGATCACATTTATTTGTTCTAGAAGCAGCATGGCATGGTGGAGAGAGAATTTATCTCAGAGTCAGAAAGACCTCAGACACATGCTTGGTTGTGTGACCCTAGGTAAGTCACTTGATCCCTTAGTATTGTAGGCTACTCTTTAAGACTATAAGTTGCAGAAAAGGTGCTGGCCCATATTGGTAGAGGGAATAATATCCTTTTCTAGGAGTTTCTTATGCTAGTAGAATCACAGGTCTTGCTCCTATCCTTCGTTATTTGCTTATTGTGATTTCTAGGTGGTTATATATTAGCACACTTCTTTTGATCAGCTGGAATGTGGTAGGTGTGGGATTTAGCCTCTTGGGTCATGGTCTAATTGCAGAAAGCAATATCCCAGACTGGCATAGAAGTATGTCGGAAAGGCTCTTGGGAAAGAAGAAATCTCCAGCAATTTTGCACAATAACAGCAAAAATAATGGTAATAACATTACTAGTTCACTTTTCCTTAGCACTCTACAGTTTACATATCACTTTCCTCATAATCTCAAGAGGGAGGTAGTCTAAGGATTATTATCCCCATTTTATAGATGAGGAAACTGAGGTTCTGTGAGGAGAAATAAATTGGGTAGGCTTAAAGAGCTAATAAGGAGCATAAGTAAGAAGAGACCATTTCCCAGTCTGCAGGAACATCTCAGGAACCTACCTTCCTCCCCTTTCAGGTCAGTTCCGAAGAAGCCATCATGCTCTCTGCTAGCCATAACTACCTCAGTCTCTGGGAGATCTTTCAGTTGCTGTACTCCATCAGTGAGTCCCTCTGATTCTGTTTTATTTCCTAGACTGAGTTAGTCAGCATCTACAGTGGCAGATTCTTTAATAGTTCTTGGTGATTACTGTTATTATTTTTTATAAAATGGCATTTTTTTTCTTTTCTCCCAAAGGAAGGATGGTTCATTTCCCATTCCAGATCAGGCCAGGTAGTCCCTGTAAACATACACAGATGAATAGCTCAGCTGACCAGTTGTGGATTCTAAGGGCTTAAGCTTTGCCTCTATCATTCTGTGACCTGGGGGTAGTTGATTTAACTCTCTGGCCCTTTATCACCTCAGCTGAAAACTGGGAGAAGTGAACCATAGATCCATCTCATAGAGGTAGTCAATAATAACCATCCCATAGTGGAAAGAATACTAGACTGACAGTCCAGAGGCCAAAAACAGGGTCTATCCCAGTTCAACAACTTTACCATAAGCCCGTGATTTCTCCTCTTTGTGTTTCAATTTTCTCGCCTCATTTTGGAGGCTACATTAGATCATCTCTAAGATTAAATAATCTACAGAGAGCTGAATGCATGCCAAAGATGAACATGACAGTAAGAAGAAACCATCACCCCTAATGATCAGCTTGTATCCCAGAATCCTATTTAGGCTGGTTTAACTTGAAAAGCGTGATTGCTGCTCAAAGACAGTGTAACTGCTTAGACAGAAGGCTAATAATAATTGTATGGGAATCTGAAGCCCAAATTGGTCCAAATATAGGCTGTACTTCCCCCCCTTCCAAATATAGCTTGTTTGAAACTGCAGGGCCAATAATTAGTATAATTTTTAAAAATTTATATGATAAATTAAAAAACTTTTTATATTTTTTCTTTCAAGGAAATCTTATTGTGGGGGTTGTGGCCTATTTGTGGAAGGCCTATATTTGAGCCAGTACCATATCTGGGGAAAAGGTTGTGAAATGACAGTTAATAAGTATGTGAAGCTAAGAGCAGCTAGGTGGTGCAGTAAATAGAGAGCCAGTCCTGGAGTCAAGGGGACCTCAGGTCAAATCCAGCTTCAGACATGTAATTTCTATGTGATCCTGGGCAAGTCACTTAACCCTTCATTTATGCCTCAAAAATAAAAGTGCGAAGCTAATGAAAACAACCATTGGCAATTGTTAGAAAACCTGGCATTCAAAGGCAAAGGACCTTAGGGAAAAGAATTTTAGAACATACAGTGTTAACACTAAGAAATTTTGAACATAGAATATTAAGGATGGAGGGGACCTTGGAGATCATCTAACTCCCCCTTTTTACAGATGGGGCAACTAAGCCTAGAGAGGCAAAATTCTTGCCCCAGGTAATCCAGTAATTTAATGGCAGAACTGGGGCTAGAATCCAAGTATCCTTACTTTTCATTGTAGTACTTTCTTTTTCAGCACTTACTCTCATCGAAAGCCATTGATTTCATGACTTCTGCATGACAGAGCTGTAAAAAAATGTTCACTTCACTGATATGCTCGCTTCCCCAAGGTCCAGAACGGCACCTCTGGGGCAGGCAGGTTAATGTTTGTATATTTTTATTTACAAGGCCCTTGAATATACAAGAAGCATCCTTTGAGTAACAGCAACCTGGAAGGAACTGTTTCCTTGTTTGTTTCTGTAAGGAAACAACCTGTCTGGAAGGCAGGGGTGGAAGTCCAGCCAGGGAGCACCATGAGGACATAAGAAACCACAAGCAGGGGAAGCTAGGTGGTACAGTGGTTAGAGCACTGGCCCTGAAGTCAGGAGGACCTGAGTTCAAATCAGACCTCAGACCAAACAATTGACATTTACTAGCTGTGTGACCCTGGACAAGTCACTTAACCCCAATTGCCAAAAAAACAAAAAAACAAAAACAAAAACACCACAAGTGATGCTGGGGTATGGGACCATCGTTAGATTAAAAGCAAAGGAAAACTCTGAGTGGAACTGAGGTTCGGCTGGGAGTGTTGGCTTCTTCCATAAAAGACAGATATAGCTTTAGAGTCAAAAGATTTGGGCTCCAATTTTGCCTTCCATTCTTAGTAACTACATGATCCTAGGCAAGTCACTTAACTCCTCTGTTCTTCAGCTTCTCCATCTGTATAAGGGGAATAATAATTATACTTTTCCTTCTTACCTCATAAGATAGCTATAAGGAGAGTGCTTTGTGAATCTTAAAATGCTCTAGAAATGTGAGCTGTCTTCATTGTTGCTGTGAAGTCATCATCATATGATCACCACCACCACCATTGCCATCATTCATGCCATGGTTCAGCCCTTGGACATATATATGTAGGAAGGTGGATGGAGGGAGAGAGAGCTTTGTTAAAAGAATCTCTCAAGCCCCCAGATGTGATCAGATAGGATTTTAAAACAAAATCATAATGAAAGCACAATGAACATCACCTTCTTTTGGAAAGGCAACCTCCATATCAAGGGTTTGGGGAACAATAGGGGTCCTAAGAACAAAGATTCACAGTGAACTGGAAAGGAGAGACAAGGGGAAACACTGAATTTCTCTCAATGTCTCACAAAGGTAAAAATAGTCACCAGCATGGATGGAAACAGGAAAACAGACACTGGCATCCTTTCTGAAAGTCCTTGCTTTGTCTCTCCCTTGGTGGGGATGTAGTAGTGGCGGGGAGAGTGGTCATGGTAGAAACGCCCCATAGAAACTTTAAAAAAAAATCTAGACCAGTGATCCCTGACCTTTCTGGAGTTTTCACATCTCAGCATCGTTTATTTTCACTAATTTTCCCCAAAGTATTACATGTGTGTGCTTATAAGTATTTGTTTATATGTGTATGTGTCCAGTTATAATTTTTATGTTTGTCTTTAAACATTTGTTTGTATGTATAGATGTGCATGTACACATGTACATGTATCTATATAACCACACACAGGGATATATGAACATATTCTTTGTGCACATGCAAATGTATATGCAGACACAGTAGAATATCCACATATATGTATATATGTGCATGATGAATATATATCCTCATGCAATACAGGGACAATCTGCATGCATGTGTATGCACTTTATATATGCATATGTATATGTGTAGAGATACCCATGGGTTTGTGTGTATATGTCTATACACAAATACACAGCTACATAGGGATATACATGTACACATACACATGTTTTGGACATGTGTAGGTAGATAAATGTGAATGTGAATGTATATATGCATATAGGTGTCTATACAATATGTACTATGTATGTGGCAATGTGTTTGTATGTGTATTTATGTGTATACACATATAAAAAGTAAATTCAAGCAATATTTTTTTTCAGAGGGTATTTTGAGTATGATGTGCCCTTACCCAAAGATAACTGGAGAGACATGGGGGAGGCTTCTTAGATTCAGGGCCCTTATTCTGCTGAATTCTGTGCATATTCAGATACATATTCTGTTTTATTCACTTCCTCATGATACTGTTCCTCCAACTGCAAGATTTCTTGGGCCTGAATTAGTCAGATAATTGCCTCAACTCACCTCTTCCCTTGGATATTTGGGCCGAATCTACACAGGTGGGCCTGAAGAGCAGCCATGGGCCAAAATCAGGTGGACAGAATTGGGTACAAGCCAGAAAGTTGCTCTTATACAATGCAGCTGACAGAGGCTTAAAAAAAAATGATCCCATGGGAAGCTGGTCGATTGGGTTTCTTTCTTTTTTCTCCCTTTCTCTTCTCCTCTTGTTTCTCTTTTCTCTCTCTTTTTCTCTTTCTCATTATCTTTTATGCTCCTTTCTTCGCTTTTTCTCCCTCCCTCTCTCTTCCTTCCTTCCTTCCTTCCTTCCTTCCTTCCTTCCTTCCTTCCTTCCTTCCTTCCTTCCTTCCTTCCTTCCTTCCTTTCTTCCTTCCTTTTTTCTTTCTTTCTTCTTCCTTCCTTTCTTTCTTTCTTTCTTCCTTCCTTTCTTTCTTCCTTCCTTTCTTTCTTTCTTTCTCTTTCTTTCTTTCTTTCTTTCTTTCTTTCTTTCTTTCTTTCTTTCTTTCTTTCTTTCTTTCTTTCTTTCTTTCTTTCTTTCTTTCTTTCTTTCTTTCTTTCTTTCTTTCTTCATTGCAGACTTGTAAACTCTGGCTGTTCTGTCTAATTGTTTCAGGTCTGGTTTCAGAATGCCAGAGCTAAATTCAGGCGGAACCTTCTACGCCAGGAGAACACAGGGGTGGACAAGACCTCAGACTCCACACTACAGACGGGGACCCCATCGGGCCCAGCCTCAGAGATTTCCAACGCATCCATGAGCCCCTCCAGCACCCCCACCACCCTCACGGACTTGACTAATCCCACAATGCCAACTGTGACATCTGTCTTAACTTCCGTGCCTGGGAGCCTGGAGGGCCATGAGTCCAGGAGTCCTACACAGACAACTCTTACAAACCTTTTCTGATGACGCTTTCCCAATAATTTCTTTAAAAAAGAAATTATCCTTTAGTTGAATTCCAAGTGTATTTTAAATAGAGGCTTTGAGCAACTAACTAACCACATTTTAGGATCTCGCCTGGAAACAGAGGGGGAAAAATGAGTGTTCTGGTAACTACAGAGTGTGGACTGAAAATTAACTTGGAAGATCTATCCGCAACACAACATTTGTGTAACTGTACAGTTTTGTGGACTGACTGAGCAAGGAAAACAAGAATTAATTTAAGTTGGCTAGAGCTTCTTGTATTTCAAAGACTGCCACGTGCCTTATATACTGTTTTATCTACATACTGGATTTCCCATGTCCATTTTCTCTCTTGCCTCCTTTTCTCTCTGTATATTTATGACCAGAGCAAAAATGTTTAAAAAAAAAAGTTTGTTACTTTGAATAGTTCTACAAACAAGCAAACAAAAAACACACAGACACACACACACACACACACACACACACACACACACCCCACACCCCTTCATTGGTTCTGTTGTTGTTTTAGAATTTTAAGGTGGACGTCTGTTCGAATATCAGAATTTGTAAAATCTAACCAGTAATAAAACCACTTATCGAAACTACTGGGTAACTGGCTGCAGTTCAGTCTAGCAAAGATTTCCTGGGACTAATAACCTCCAGCTCAACTGGAAAGTCAGACAGATGGCCTGCAGCCATTCCCTCCAGGGGCTCTGGGGGTTGTATTTCCCAGTCTCTTTTCTCCCTGCCTCCTAGGATGTCTGGGATACATGTAGAGATAGGAAGATTCTCTGCCTGCTGGAGAGCCTGTTTGAAAGAGGACAAGGTATTTTCACTGCCCCAGAATGAAAACATCCAGAGAGGAAATGCGAAGTGGAAAGAGAAATGAGACAGGAGTCAGGAGGTCTGAATTCTAATTCCTCCACTCTGCTACTAACAGGCACGGGGACCTTTGGAAAGTTACTTCCATTCTCGGCAAAAATAAAGGGGTTGAACATATGATCTCCAAAGTCCTTTACAACCTTTAATTTCTGTGTCCTCAGGTCTCTTTGCTAGCTCTGACATTCTGTTGTACAGTCCTCAGTTCTAACATTCTGGGTTCTTGGGATCATTTCAGCCCTAACATTTTCTGTTCTAACATTCTACAGTCTAAGGTCCCTTCCAGTTGTAACAACATTCTGTGACTCTTTGAAGTGTTTTAGGTTCAAAAATTTTCAAGGACACGTCTGCTAAACATTCAACAGAAGGGAAAAAATGTAGTCACTAGGAGCTCCAGGTAATTTTAGATTGGGGTGGGGGGAATTGTGGCAGGAGAAGAAAGACAAAGCACCTAGTCCTATAAGAAATAACACAACCTAGCCACTCTTAAAAAATGAGAAGCAGATAGGAGACCAGCTTGGCAGGGAGAAGTAAGAGATGGGCAGAGCCAAATTTAGTAGGGTGGAAAATATAAAACGGAATGAGATACCAGTAATAATAATTCACATTTCTATAGCATTCGTGTGAGGCAGTTTTGCCTAGTGGCTAGGCAGCTAGCCCTGAAAACAGGAAGACCTGGGTTCCAGTCCCACCTTTTGATGTGTGTGACTCTGGGCAAGTCATTTAACCGCCTAGTGCTCTAGGCAACTGTCTAAGACTAAATTACGGAGGAGGTGCCAGTCTTCATGGGTAGAAGGAGTTTGTTCTCTAAGGAGTTCCGTATGCTAGTTAAATAACAGGTTTAGTCCCTATCCTTATCATGCTTTAAGGTGAATAGAGCACTTTGCTCACAATCCTGTAAGGTGCATATTATCTTCAGTTTACAGATGAGGAAATTGAGATTCAGAGAATAAAAGTGACTACGGCCAGGGTCACACAACCATTGAGTGCCAAAGTCAGGATTCAAATCTCTGGCTTTCTTAACTTCAGGTCCTGATCTCTTTCTATCTGAGGCATCAGTCAGCTGCTCTTGCTGCTATGAATTACAATATAGCCCTGGGGATTCAACAAACATTTATTATTAAGCACTTACTATGCATAATAGGGCACTCCAATATATCAAGGACCTGCGATTTCAATCTTGTGGGAATCACTCCTTCCATATCCCTCCAGGCAGGTGGAAACCCTTTCTTCAAGTTAGAGTCCCAAGAGAAATGCCTGAGGCTCAAAGAGTTTAAATGACTTACCCATGGTCATACAGGTAATAGATGTCAGAGGCTGGATTTGAACCTCAGTCTTCTTTGGATGCAGCACTCTTATTCAACGCACACCCACCCTTTAGGTGCTTAATAAGTGTGTGATAGATTGCATATTCCTTTGGCCACACTCTTTATTTAGGTCAAAGGAGATAATGTATGTGAAAGCACTTAGGTACTGTATAAATGTGTTATTAATGTTATTATTACAGAATTCATTTTCTTTTTTCCTTCATAAATTTGTCCTATTTTCAAAATATGTGTTGAATGTTTGAAACAGAGCTCTGCTACTTGTTACCTGTGTGATCTCGGAAAACTGACTTGGCTTTTTTTTTGGAGAAGCCTTAATTTCCTCACCGGTAAAAAGAAAGGATTGCATTAGATGATTTCTAAAGTCCCTTGCAACTTTAAAATGTATGGGTATCATGACTGGAGCGATCTCCGTCCTTTAAAAACAAAAAGTGGTCTGAATCCGTGTATCTGGTTAAAGGGATCCCAGCCATGCAGGCAGGTGTAAATAACTCTCAGAGGAAATGTGGACATCAGTGATCCTCCCCAGTCCTCTTCCTCCTCAGCTACATACCAAAGAGAAAGAAAAAAGGCTTTCAGCCCCATCGCATTGTGAATTCGATGGAGCAGAAATTCGGAAGACTGGGGACAGTGACTGAGATGGGAGGGCTAGTCTTCTCCGGACCAGATGTACTCAGAGAGGAAACAGCTGGAATGGAGTCTGGTTGCCTTTCTACCTCTTTAAACCCCACACCCCTTCATTCTGGAGGGTTCTGCGGGGTTAAGACCGCGCAGGAAGAACGACTGAGTGCATGGAAACAGTCTTTCCTAACAGCTGCAGACCCTGGACACAGTAACCGATTTCAGGGATTTGTCAATCAGCCTTCCTGCCCAATAAGCTACTCCTCTTTTCCTACTTGTCCCCTTGTCCTTGTCCCCTAGGGTAAGGGTTCGAGACAGCTCAGAACCCTTGGGGAAAGGAGAGAGGAGAATCAACTCAACCTCGCCCCCTCCGGTCTCACTACTCCCAAGAGAGCTGTAATAACGTCAACTCCCATTTTCTAGAAATGGGATTTTAATGGCTACACAGGGCAAGGATTATTAGTTCCATATTACAAGTGAAGAAACTGAGGCTCAAATTTCTCTAATAACACCTTTCTATAACGTTTTACTTTTTGTATAGCGATTTCCTCGATACAACCTTGTGTGTAGTTATGATTATTTCCATTTTACAGATGCAGAAACTGAGGCTTATTTTAAAAATATTGTCAATTTTATTGATAATAACTCATATTTCTACAGTGTTTTTATGGTTTGCCTCACAACTAGCCGTTGGAGGAGTTAGTGCAAATTTTTTCTCTTTACTTTACAGATGAGGAAACTGAGGCCCAGCAAGGAGGAGTGGTTTGCCTAAAGTCATGCAAAAGTTTACTTGGTAGTCAGAACTCAAACCCAGGTCTTTGGGCTACAAATTTAGGGTGCTTTGCGCTACACCAAAGTGTAGGTCAATTCGTACTATATCATTTCTCTGAGCTCCTAACCCTTTCTTCCACCTAAGCCAAGAGGATGAGGGTAGTGCCCCTTCTTCTTTATGCACTTCTAGGATCCCTAATTTCGTTGGGGAGAATGCAACCCTTACAGACGCTGCTCGAAACTCCTCCCCTCCAGTCTGAGTGAGCTGCATTGGCCAAACAGTTCATCTCCTGGCAGGCAGGACCAGCAGGCCATTCCACACTGTCTGGCCCTCTGCAGCAGCCATACAGCTCTGCATCATCTTTTTCAGCTGGGTTGTCCCAGTTGGGGTTTGGTCTCCGATGGCTTGTCTAGGAGGGCACTGTGGAGTCACGGTCACTCCAATAAGAGGCTTCTTAGGAGAACTTCTGTCCAGTCAAATTCTTCTTCTTAAATAAAAGGTTAGTGAGATAGATGTCCAATTGAATTTAGAAGTTCAGTTTATGTAAATACACACCCGGGGCTGGGGGCCTGGGGGCTGTAGCGCAGGGGGAGGGGAAAGGAAGTGTTTCCCCTCAGGGAGCCAATAAGGAGCAAAGCACAGGCCTACAATTAAGTAATCTTTTCCCTCCTTAGTCATGCAAGTGGCCCCAGTAGCACCAGAAGGCCTGTAATATTCTTTTTTCTTTCTTTCATTTTTTCTACAGAATCTCCCTCTCCTTGCATCCCATCTTACTCCTTTGTAAGTATAGAAGCCTTGGGCTACTGACCTGGGGTGTGTGTGAAGGGATGAGTAGAGGTCATAGAATCCAATGAATTATAGGGATTTTGATCTAGACCAGGCCTTAGAGAACACTTAGTCTAAGTTCCCTCTTTTAAATATATGTAGATGTGTGCTTGCACACACACACACACACACACACACACACACACACGAAACTGAGGCTTTCCTTCTCGAAAAAGGAAAGTGACTAGCTCAAGGACATTGGTTGTACATATCAGAAAAGGGGGAGCAGAGTCTAGGGTCAAACTTACCTTTACTCCACTATAGCCTGCAGCCAGGCAAAGTGTAAGCGTAGGTGTGGGGAGTTTCAATCCCATGGGGAACTTCAAGTTTCTGCCACAAATTCGATGAGAGAATCCTTTCACTTTTTATGCTGCTTGGCTTCCAGGCAATTGCAAAAGACAAAAATCACCTGCCGAGTGGGGGCCCCTAGGATAAGCGCCAGATTGGAGTTTAGAGAGCTCCCCTTCCCCCAACGACCCAACCTTTGGGACTACAGTTCCCACCGTCTTCCCTATAGCTCATCTGGCCAGCCCAGTATTCTAGAATATTAATACTAGCTCATATTCACATAGAGCTTTTCCATAGGAAGAGACGAGTTCAGAGAGACAAGAGGATCGTAGACTGAGAGTTGGATGCTTGAGGGATATTAGGGGTCACCTAGCCCAATCTTTTGAATTTACAGGTGAGGAAATTGAATCCCAAAGAGGTGAACTAAGCTGCTGAAGATCACGGAGGTGTAAGTGGCAGAGCGGGGACTGGCCCCCAGGTCTGCTTGCTCCACTGTCAGAGCTCCTATACCTGTTCCTCCTCCAGCTACCCCATGCAGCCTTGCATATGAATATTCTCAGATCCTGGCTCAATCATTCTCATATCCTGGCTCTGCCCCACAGAGAGGACAAATTCCTCTTGCAGAGAGCTGCTATGCTCTTCCCGATGTTCCAAAGGCAGCCTGGTTGGTATAGTGAGGAGGTTGGCGGAGTGGAAGGAGCCCTGGACTTTGAGTGAGAGG